TCTTATATCAGCATGTACTGGCTTCAGTACTGGAATCCAGTATTTAGGAACTAAGAGGATTTTTGAAAGACTGTGGGCTAGAACTTGGATGTTTCCCGGCTCTCTGAGTTATAAAGTAAGCAGGAAGAAGGAAGTGCTAATTCAGGGGAAGAATTTTTAGGAAATGGGAGTAGGGCATTAAGAAAATGCCAACTACACTGTTTATCTTTATGGGAAAGTCCATAAATAGGAATAAGACTCTAACATTTCTATTATAAAAATGTTTGTGTTTTTTAACAGATGACTACCGTGAGCATAAAATAAACAGAACAAAGAAGTATTTTACTTCAAATACTGTGAATAGAAGTTCATAGTGGATTATAACTTTATTTTGCCACTAATTCAAAGAAGAAAACAGCCTGGATAATAAATAACCATGTTGAAAGCTGGATACATTTAAAAATCATTAACAAAAATAAGTTCTCTGAAAACGATAAAAGACTTTCCAAATCAGAAATAGATTAATCTTAGCAAGTGTACTCACCATGCATTTTAACATATAACTTCAATTAATCTTGAGAAAAATTCTTAAACCTCATAACTCTTACAATTATAGAGGAAATAGCCTTGAAAGACAAATATGTACAAATGAACCTTAATTTTATTGGTTGATTGAATCTGAATTGTGTTGTCTTTGTACACTTTGAAACAATACAAACACAAATGTGAACTGTTGTTTAGCCTTTGCCTACAATTGACTATTACTGAAATAATGACCACCTTCAAATCTTTTCTTCTGAGCACAGCATTTCTGGAGTTTTTTCAGTCCTCTAACATATACAAGACTGTAACATGTAAAGTTTTCTATTCTGGATTTATAAAGAACTATTTACTCTAAACATGTTATGTTATTAAGACCTATTTACTGTAATGTTTTCTAGTACATTTTACATTTTAAAAAGTATAACAGAATAAAACAGACGTGTCTCAAAGTAAATACTTGTATCTCAGATTAATCAGTGTCTCTGAACGTTTAATAATAATGATTGTATCTAATCTCAATCAAGAGCTACAAATGAATCACATACATTTATATAATTTATCGGACTGTATTAAAACACGATTTTTTATACTGATATGTGTTTACATAAGATAAAGGTTTCAGCGGTTACAAACAGCCAGTGTACTGCAGCCTTAAGTCCAAGCCACTGATGAAAGGAATTGGACTGCCTCTAACCTAACTCAGAGGAAAAAAGAATCAAGATTAATTTTTAGTTCAGATCTTTGATCTAGTTCTTTATACAAAGAAATGGTTGTGCCAACCCAAGGGAGAAGGTAGGCACCTTCTCCAACAGCAAGAGAAGGTGACAGCATCTGCTTCTGTAGCAGGGTGGATTTATGTGAGATTTAACTGACCATGTAAATACAGCCTTAGAAATGAAACTTGCTGGCTGGAAGAGTCTGTTTCCTCAAATAGATTAATGATTTGTTTATACCAAGTTAAGCCACAAGGGAATCCTTAACAGGCTGTGTCTGCTTTCTGGGTAAAAGATGGCTCCACCTATTATTGTAATAGAAGCATTAGCATTTATAAAAATCTGAATGTGATAGGAAACAATCTATTAGGACAAAATTAAAGTTAACACAGTGATTAAGTCAGAATTCACAGAAATTTGCAGAGGGGAAGGAAACAGAATCTCACTACAAAGGGAGCATGAGGGAAAGTTTTAGGTCTAAAGGTTGGATGGGTCCGCAAATCTTCATTCTCATCCACAAAGACAGGCCTAAGGAAGTATGGTGTGTATAAAAACACACTCCTAGATAGATCTCTTAGCAAATAGATAGCTGAGTAATAGGAAAAGAGAGAAATCTCTAAATTTTTCTAGACTTCATGTAGAAAATACAGGTAATTTTAACTTATTGTAATGTTATATATTGTGTAAATACACTTATTAAATGTTAATTAAATGGCAAATGTTAAGGAATTTCATTCCTACTAGTGCTGTAATATTTTAAAACTGTGGCAACTGCTCAGGATCATAGAATATTTCTTAGGCCTATCCAAAGAAAAAGAGCACTGATCTAGGATACCGTGCTAGGAGACTGGAAGTTGGCAAAGCTGCTGTGAGACAGAGAAATTTTGTGATTATCAACGTCAGAAGTCTTGTGATTATTAACATTAGCCAGAGGCTCCCTGCATATAATATGATGGTGGGGACAATGTGTGAACCCTGAGGATTCCCCATGGAGTCTCTTATGACAGCATTCCAGTTAAATCAGTATATGGGGGCACCTGCTTCAAATAACTGAAAGAAGCAAGTCCAGCACCATTGCAATAAGTTAACGTTAATTCATTTAATATTAATTTCATTTAATGTTAAAACCTGTATTTCTTGCTCAAGTAAAAGAAACTTCCCTTGAATTTGGATAAAATTCTTTATTATATTTTTAAAGGTGCATGTTATACTATCTTGAAGAAATCAGATTCTTCTCTGTAGTTTTTCAGTATTTTCATTTGTCTCACATTTTCATTTCTTATATGTTCAGAATTCCTGGAGACTTCAGCATTCGCAACCATTCTTTGATTTTTCTGAGTTATTCCTAATGTGTAATAGGCTCCAAGTTCTCATAGAACTGCAGATGAAGGTAAGAAGGTATTAAAAAACCACATTTACCTTTTGACACTGTGAGTGACAAACGTTGCACTTGTATAATTAGCAGTTGATTTCTACCTTATACACAAACCCTACATCACTACAATAACAATATTCAGTGTTGTTATAGCTGGACAGGAAACTTAAATATTAATAGGTAGCAATAAATCAGCATAATGTCCACTGCTTGGACATTAAGATATACCAAAGTTTTGGCATTGGCATACAAAAATGGGTAATGCGTGAACTGCAGAATTGAAAGGCTGTAAAGTAAATAATACATCAATATGACTCATATTCTACCTCTGTGGTTTTTCTGCATTTGCTCCCCAGTTTTAGAATATTTCTTTGGTTTTGCACAACCAGCGAATGCCAAGTCAGTGCATGTTAGACCTTTTCTGCCTTATGTGGCCTTAACTTTTTATGGGAGTTGCCTCTACTGAGGCTTAACTGGGAATTTAACAGGTAACTCAAAAAGGCTGATATAGCCTCATTTTTTAGCATTTGGCAAAGCCTGATCACAAAGAGTACTTCAGTGCTGGAATAACGCATCTCACAAATGATGAAGATCTCATGTACTAAGTGAAAAATATATCCCCTAATGAACATATACCAGGAACTGTTTGGATCTAGATGTAACAGGAATGAGACATTTAGATCCTTACCAGCCATATGGGAGACCCACATTTCACAATTACTCTCTGCCTGTCAATGCAAGGGTTGACATAGAGCGCTGGATGAAGTAAGGGCTTGCAGTTATTCAGCAAAATGTTAAACTGTTTGCTCTGTGGAATCCTCTTGTGTAGCTGTTCCATTTCATGTCCGTAATCAAGCTAAACTCATGCAAATCACTGAACTGTAGTGGGAGGTGATGCAGAAAGTGCAGCCATCTGGGTCTCCTGAAGAGGAAGAGAAGAAAACCTCCATACCGTGAGAGTCATTGGCTGTTATTAAAACCAGGATTGCTTTTACAGGAGTGCCAAATCTTACTAATTAATTTTCAGATTTATACTTCAGGGTCACTCTGGCAGTAATTATATAATTCAAAAATCAGCCACAGACACATTTTCTTTAAAAGTAAGCCCTGCCAAAAAATGGCAGCTTATCCCTACAATAGTATTTTCGTGACCTATCTTTTCATCAAAGCTGCCTTCTGCACTGAACACCCAAAGCTATAATGTGCTACATTCATCTCATTTTATGCCCACACCATGGCATAATATTTGTGCCCAAAGTCTCACAGACAAAAAGCATCAGAACTGGAAACTCCCAGCTTCTGACTTTGACTCCCCATAGGCCTTCTGGGTCTCATAGGCCTCAAGGACTCCATAGGCCCTATAGGCCCCATAGCCCCTGCGCTAAAAGGAGTCACAATCAAGTCACAAACACAAGAAGGCTGGACAAAAACCAAACTTTGCATAAGAAAGGGCTATTTTATTTGAAGTTAACAGTGTTTCCACAAATTTCAATTGGACTGAGACTTCCCACAGTGCATGAAGGGTTGAGAAATCCTCTGGCAAAGAAGAAATTCATGACTTTGCCCCCACTTTATGGCACTAGCGTAGAATCATAGAGTGGCTTGGGTTGGAAGGGACCCAGATAATTAAAGATAAACCAGTTCCAACCCTCTTGCCCAGGTTGCTCAGAGCCCCACCCAACCTGGCCTTGGACACTTCCATGCACGGGGCAACCACAGCTTCCCTGAGCAACTTGTTCTCCACCTCACCACCCTCACAGTAAAGAATTCCCTCCGGTGTGTTAAAACGGGCCCAGGCAAACGCCCCTTCCTTATTTCGAAGGAAAGACTCCTTTTTTTTTTTTTTTTTTTTAAGACTGCAACAAGCCTGCAGCTGTTTTTAATACCCTGCCCAGTAAATGACAGGAGCCTGTTCGCAATCAACGACACACGTTTTTTATTAACTGACTTCTCCATAATTGTCCCCAGACAGCGCCCGAGCGCCTTCTGGCAGACAGGAGCGGAACCCGGGGGTGGCTGTAAGCTCCACGAGCCCCGCACGGCCCTGGAGCGGGAAGACGGGCCGGGACAGCCCCGGAGTCTCGGGGCGGGCACGGCCAACGCGCTGAGCGCCGACCGCCGGGGCGGGGGCTCCCCGTCCTCGCCCACTCCGCCCCGCCTCGCTCCCTCACAGCTGCTGCGTTCGACTCCTTCGAGCAGCGGCGTGAGCGGCTTGTGCGGCGGCTGAGGCGGCAGCTGCCCGCCCGGCTGCTCTGCCCGCTGACAGCCGCCGTCTCTCGGCGGCCGCCGGTGCCCGAGGCAGCGCTTCCCTCTCCGTGCCGAGCCCCGGGGAGTCGGCGGCGCGGCTGCAGCGGCAGGCGGGGGAGCGCTCCTCGCCGCTCCGCCTCCGACCGCCGCCCGCTGCGGGGATGTGTGATTGCCATGGCGAGGCGGCTCTTCCCGGGGGCCTGGCTGAGAAAGCCCCACTCCGCGCAGGTAGGCCGGCGAGGGGCCGGTGCCGGCGCCCGTCTCTCCCCGCCAAGTTCCCTCCGGAGCGGGCGCCCCCCGCAGGGCTCTCGCCGCTCCCCCCGACCCGGCGCGGCCGCCGCTCCCTCCCGCCGGCGCCTGGCGGCGGCCGGGGCTCGGCCCGCGGGCGGTGGCGGCTCCGGGGCTGGGGCGGGTGTCGGGGCACCAGAGCAGGTGGCGGCGGCCCCGGGGTCGCGGTGCCTCTCGCCGCCCCCGCCGGGCGGGTCGGGCCTTGGTGGTGCGCGGAGCGCCCTCCTCGAGCGCCGCGGGACCTGTTACGCCGCGGCCGGTCCGCGGTGTCCCCGCGCTCTCGGGGGATTGTCGGCGGGGCAGCCACACCTGCGGCACCGCCGGGCCCGGGGAGCCCTCTCCACGTCCCGCCTTTACACCTATCGCCGCTGCCGCGGGCACCCGTCCTGTCGGGGGGGAATAGAGCTTGCATGAGCAGACTCGTTTTTTCACGTGTTCTAAAAAAATTAGCGTCGGGCACTTTTCTTCTGCTGCCCAGTAGGTAATTGCTCCATGCATTTGTGTATGTGTTCGTAGACAGACTTCTGTATTTACGTATACAAGTACACATTTGCATTACTTAAGTTACCTGAGTAGTGACGTATTGGTTGGAAGTGCTGTATCTGTCGTGTTGTGGAAAGTTCTGCTGTGAAATGTCAGTCAGATATGACCCTGTGGTTTCTTGATAGCTGTCCTCTGGGTTTCCTTTTTATCGGTTGGATTGTATTTTAAATAAATTGTAGCTAAAATGAGTATTTGTTAAGTTGGAGCAGAGAAATATTTACTTTTCTTATATATGCTACTTATGTGTCCATCATCTGTTGATATGCTTCGTGACCATTGTATTAAAAAAATTTATACTTTGTTTGGATGCATTTTAAAATCTTGAATGTTTTAGTTTCTTCTTATCTGGAACTTTTCCAGTCTTACTCTGGTTTTGGAAGTGCCCAGAAGAGGGTATAATGTTTAAGGAAAAGCATGCAGACATAGTATAATCTTACCCTCTTTAGTATTTGTTTTTTGTTATGTATCTGCAAATCTGGGTCAGTATCACTTGAGCTTTAGACCGGAAAAGATTACTGTAGATCTATTTACTGAATTAGACATTTGTAAAGCATTTGGATTCCTATAGGAGAAAGCCTTCAATACAAGTAAAAATGAATTTGTAATCTATACACTACCATTCAAATTAGGGTTTTCCAAATTGTTTGCTTCCTTTGCCTTTATAACCTCTCTCTGATCATTATATGGGGATGTCTGATAACATTGGTCTCTTTTCTTCTCAAAATTTAATTTAAGGCCTTCCAAGCAAAATATGTTATTTTGAAGTCCACTGAGAAACAGGAAGACAGCAAAATTATTTATTAGAAAAGCCAAAGAAGCTAAATTTTTGTTTCTATTGCAAATTAAAAAAATATTTCTGACTGTGCTTTTTTATACTGGACGCTGCTTTTGAATATTCTACAGATTCGTTTTAGGAGATCTAAAATAGTGGTTTTGTGAACATAAACATATTTTTCTGTGTTAATTTTAGCTGCTATGCTGATGTTTGATGCATCTGTGGAATGGCAGCAAGCTATCAATATATTGGCTTCTGTTGTCACTGCACATTACTGTTGGTGCTTGACAAATGTAGTCATGGTTTAACTGCACTAATTGCTGAGTGCTTTATGGGGATTTGTCTCTAAAGAAGCCAGTGCTCTCTAAGTAAATGTTAGGCTTAACTCACCGAGGCCTCTGAGCAAGATAAAAGATTTGTGTAGTATTTCTATGAGCATTTCAAGTAGCACAGTGGGGAAGGTGTTTGTACAGTGGAAGGTTATCACTGAGTGAATTCCAACTTTTGATGGCTGGTGTTCCAGACTCAAAAACTGTGTTGTGAAATGTCTTGACAGAACATCAGGTTCTGCGAGACAAAATTTAATACCTGTTCTAGTTTTCCTGTTGTACTTAGGAGCAGGATGTTATGAGTTGGTTTGCAGCAGATAGTCTATGGCAAATTTACTTGCTCTTCAGCTTTTATGCAGAATTCTAGATCCATAGGTAATTTAATAATAGCAAAAAATACCCAAAAATACTGTAAAACCCGACAAACTTTTGAATGCTACTAAAGATCACAAAAAAGTAATCTAATTGTATTTATAGGATTTTTCAGTTGGGTGATTAACACTGGGATTTTGTGTTTTATAAAGAGAGGTTAGTGTCCCAAATTTAGGAGACATTGACCTGAAGTTCCTTCTGATAGCTGTAGTTACCAATTGTATCGAGAGGCAGAGGACAAGCCAGCAGGGTTGCTCACGACAATAATCATGTAAAGAGCACTTGCATGCTTGGAAACTTTCTGGCCTCTAGAGGTTCTGGACCAAGTTTTCAGACTCTTTAGAAGTGCCCCATGGACTTAAGTAATGTACAGGAGACTGTCTTTGAAGGGCCAAAGAATAAGCAAGTTTAAAGCCACACATAACAGAAATTTCCTGTATCATCTCTTTGCTTTAAGATTTTAATCCCTTTTGTTTTGTTTAACCTTTTAAGGAGAGAGAACCCATTTTCCATCTTGGTCACTATTTTATTTCAAAAGATACCTCAGCTCTGTTTACTCAGTTTAGTTACTCAGGATACAAAATAATTCAAGACACTGACATAATCTTAAGAATTCACTTGTGCTCTTAAAGATGTGAATGTGTCCATTACATGGCATCCAAGACAGTGTGGGCTAATGCTCTCAGACATCATGTCAGCATACCTGAAGTGCATCCCATGATCCACGAACCAACCTGAACAGAGAACAAAAGAGGATTTCTAACATGATTGGCCTACATTTTTTTTTATCCGTCCTTTCCTGTTGCTAGTGTGTAAAACAAATGGAGTAAACAGCTCTGATTTGGAGGAGATAAGTGCGCTATGGTTATCTGGAATACTTTGCAGAATTAAGCTCTCTGTACTACTAAACAAAGAAATACTTTCATACTCTTTAACCGTAAAAGTGTTTTAAATAAAAAGTACACTTAACAAAAAACTGTCAAGTTATGTTGCATGTTGATTCACTACTCTCCATATGCTTTGGAGTTCATCCAGGCTTGAGTTTTGCCAGAAGTGGTTTTCCAGTTCTATTTCAGGGGATGAATGTCTAATTATTATTCAATGCACATGACTTAGCAGAATATACAAGTGATGGAAGAAGTTGACTCTGAAACATCAAGCATTACAAGTGCTTTCCCTCATTCTTGTGTTCCCTGGCTCATATTTAAGCGTCTTGATGGAAGAGTAAAGTTGAAAAGAGAAATTGTTTCCTGAATTTGAACACTTTCTTCCTTTTTGATACTTTTGGAACTCTGTCCTCCTGTTGCCCTGAATATGTTCTTATTACAAGTTTCCTAGCAGTTTGTCACAATTTCAAATGGAGTCTGTCTGTATGTGTTGCTCCCTAAATGCAACACTGGGACTCCTTGCTCAGAAATGTGTTCCAGTGACGTGCATGGCATATGTGCAGTGAGTCCTCTGCACTGTGGGTGCATTAGTGCACGTGACCAAACCAGGCTCAGTAAATCCTGTCCCTGCTGCACATGCAGCACTTGCACGTGCTGGATGAAGTGGACTAAGTGTGTCTACACTCACAGGCTGATTGGGGGGAAGGAATAGAAATTGGATAGGAGGAATGTATGGGAAGAAATCAAAATAATGAACACTCCTTTTGCTGAATGTGATAAGGAAGTCCTTAGAAAAGTAATTCCCCTTGAATCAGAGTGAAAGCTTGTGGTTGTCTTTAAGCAGATGGATGCTGTTGTCCATGCTCTGAACTGGCAGGATGGCTTTTGCAAGTCAAAAGCTACACGACTGCATTGGCACAGCGCTGAGCTCAAAATAAACCTTGCTTCTCTGGAACTTCTTGCCAAATATGTGATGTAGTCAGATGGCATTTGGGAAGGATTTTCTGTCTCAAACGCATTTGCTTTCTGCCTGAGAAGGAGGACAAATTTGGATAAATCCATATATACATTATTCTGTACATAAATATGGTCGATATCCTGCAGTGGTCCTGACGCCTGCAGGCCACTGCTGGTCTCTGAGGTTGTACTAAATGGTATGCGATTAATACAGATTTGCATTAAATAGCACATTGGTTTAAAGTTCAGTGTTATAAAGGTTCATGGAAAGTTTCAGCAAGAAACACGGAGAAACATAGAGGGTTTGTTGTCCCTGAAGCTTGGGTTCCCAAGCAGTTTTTAGACGTGAAACAGCTTTGCCTAAAATTATCAGATGTATTTCTTTTGATCTTCCCTGGATTTTATCAGCAGTTTTCTGTGCTTTATGTTCTATGATATATTGGGGTTATTAGAAATAGTTTTAAAAAACGCAAAATAACAAAATCCCATCTCTAAAGGAAATCACTTATCTTTCAAATAATCAAAGATAATCATTAGCACTTATTTTCTATAATTCCCGATTCTATGAATCAGGAATTCCCCTTATTTATGTGTAAGGGAAATACTGAAGAAAGTTAACTTATTAGGATTTTCAGTAATCCTATTAAGAGAAGACTTTTGTAGAGAAAATTTTTGTGAGAAGCTTCAGGAAGACCATTCTTTTTTGATCTCAGCAGCTCTAGGCTGGGGAAAGACCATGAGAGGTTGGGTGGGAAGGAAGAGGACTTACCTGAAACTGTAAACACCATCCCTGTTGTGTGAGTTTTGTTGGTGTTTGGTTTGTGGTTTTTTGGTGGTTTTTTTCCTTGGGTGGGGAGAGGGGGGGTGTTGTTTGTGTGGGGGTTTTTGTTAGATTATGGTTTCTTTTTCTCTCCCCTGCCCCCCTCCCCAACCCCCTGCCTGAAATTTAGATCTAATACCATAAGCTGTTAAAAAACATACCTCCTTTTCAGGTTAGATGCTCAAGAGTTTTGTTGCTGGAGTTCCGTGTGTGTGATGGTTTTGTTTGGGGTTTGTTTTACAAAATACAGGATGAACCTTTGTCTGAAATTAGGTTCACAACAATGCACTGGTGGCATATATTTAGATGGAAAATAGAATGTGTTAGGTTAGCTCTGTGACAATTTAAAGGCAAGAAGTTAAGGATGGTTTGAGTGAGGCCATTCTCATTTCAGCCTGGCACATCTTAATTGTACTTGCTCGGTGCTGTGGAGTTGGCTGGGTAGTCCAAGATGCCCCTCTTAGTTTACTGTATCTACAGCTAAAGAGACAGAGTGAGCATGTGCCTATACCTTAGCTGCTCCAGCTTGTTATTTGTTTGACTACTGGAAATTTCCGGTGAAAACAATTTTTTTTCCTGCAAATGGTGATACAGAGTATGACACCTAACTGTGTGTGCTTCTGCAGAGTCTGCCATGTGGTGGTAACCTTTGACAGAGGATTTGGGCAAGGGAATGGAAGTGGAAGTAATAGATAGTTGCTTGCCTAGTCAACTAGATGTCAATCCTGATAAAAAGATGTGCGCAAAAACCCTCATGATTAAACATGCCTTCTTTGCATAGCTATCAATAATTGAATATGATCTGATTTTATCAAAATACCGAGCTTTAATGACAAATACAATTTGTACTTTTCTTTAGATGTTGCTGTATCTCATGGTGCTTTTTGCAAAGTAATTCTTTCTTTTTCATGTTGTATCTAGTTACAGAAACATTAGGCCAAAGTAAAAATAGATGAGTGACTCACCTAGTTAATTTCAGGCACTAACTACAGAGCACTCAGTGGTATTATTACTAGGTTGAAACCTAGTGATTCAAAAAATGTTTATGGAACCATGATTTTTTTGGTGATATAAGAACAAAAAATGAGAAATTATTACGGAAGACATTGAACCTGCATGACTGTGCTGAAGCAGTTCTTGTTTTAAGTGCTAAAATTATTCATTTGTAATTCGACCAGCAGAAAGTATGAAGGGAGCAAAGAAAAAGCGCATTGTGTTCTGTAGATGGACTGAGAAAGATCTGGTTGTATGCTCTCAACTGATCCAGGTCTACTGCTTTGGTTCACCTCTCCGTTCAAAGCCCCCTCTGCTGGAGGGCTGCCTCTGAGCTGGTATCCTGGGCTTCCTAGAGATCTAGGGAGCAATAAATCTCTAGGTTTGTTTTGGTTTATTTTGTGTAGTGTGGGTGTAAGAACTAAACTAGGGAAAGAATCCATCTGCCCTGCTTACAGTTTTCCTTTGGTTCTGGAAGTGAGAACAGGGAGAGAGACCCTCTCCTAATGCTTTGCCATACCACCTCTGCTGGCTTCCCAGAGCTGAGAAAGAAGGATGCTTGTGGATGGTACAGGGGCAAGACAAGGATTCTGAAGGAGAAAAGTTGTGCTGGAGAAACTGAAGAAGTGGATGAGGCGCTGAGTAGTGCTGGAAACTTACTGGAGATGGAAGACAGAAAGTGGAGGAAGATGGGAACTGAGGCCAGTGTTGCAGAGTCGGATGAAAATAGACTGGAAATAGCTGGAAGAAAAAGAATAGCAGAGGATGTGTGGTTTGAGAGGGGGACACTAAGACTGTCTAAACAAATGGTTTGAGATGAGTACTGGAAAGAAAAAATTAGTAAGTGAAAATTGTAAATTATTAAATACAGAAAATGATCTGGAAGAAAGAATTGATGAGACTGAGTCCACCTATGCTGGAACTAAGATTGCAGTTCTCTTCTTTAGGGGGTGAGAGCAGTATTTCTGAACCCATAAGTTTTCACTTACTGTTGGTTCACATGTAGGATGACTTCTACTGCTTTTTGTTTGTCTGTTCAAGTAGTGTGGTGTACAAGGAAGATTGTGATGCTTCGTGTTGTAAGCATGTAGGTGTGGTATTTTGTCTTCTTTTTAAGCTAGGACATTCCATAAAAGGCTTGCAGTTTTGTCATTTTAGTGGTATTCTTTATATGTTTTTTTTTCTTTTTTTTGATGCTGCCCAGCCCCTTGCTGTCAGATTTATTTTAAGTGTTCTATGCCCAGCCTTCTCATACATTTTCTTAGCTGTTTCTAAATGTACTGTAAACCACACAGCATTACTGTTGGTCTCCTTCTGTACTCCATCCAATGTATATCCTTATTGTGGATACCACGCTTCAGAGGAAATTACATGTTACTCCAACTAAGGTCTTTGTGGCTCTGAGGAAAAGAGCAGAAATTATTTGTCTTTACAACACGTGCAATAAAATATCATAAAAGAAGAACTGGTTGAAGGATCTCCCTGCTCAAGATTTATCACTGGAATAAAAGCAGTTAGTTGTATCTCTCTCTTTTTTTAACTAGGTAGTTTTAAGATTGTCAAGTGTATGAAGGCATGAAGGAATAGGGATACACTGCTGAGGCATGTGGCAGGACCACAGGTGTATGGATTGGAATCTCCTCTGGGTATTTTGAAACTCGCTTTTGTTGGATCATTTCTTCCCAAGAGGAAAGGGTGTAATGCATGCTGGTTGTCTTGTCATATTTTAATAAATACTAATAAGTTATTGCAGTCTTCCTAGTTAAAAATAACTGACTTATTTATGTCTGCTGCAGTTCTATGGATGTGATAGCAAAACTGCTCATCATTACTACTTTTCTTGGAACCCTTTCCAAACATGGAATAATTTCTGTATGAGGAACTGCTAAGTTAGAACCTGTTGATCTGGAAATGAGATGACATAACAGGGAGGAGTGTGATGGAGGCTTACAAAATCATGTCAGATGGGGAGAGAGTGGACAGAAATTGATAACTGCTCTCTTCCAATAAATGAACTAGGGGATCTCAAACAAAGCTAATATGAATCAGACTTAGGCAAAATAAAGTCTGGTCCCTGACCTTGGTACAGTGGATAGTAGACCTGTGGAATTAATTGCTAAAGGGTGTTGTGGATGCTAAAAGCTTATGTGGATTATTAAGGGAGTCTGGGTAAGTTCAGGAAAGATAAATTATTTAAGATTTACTAAATATAGAATATCACATCTGGCTTAGCAAATTCTTCTAGAGGAAACTGCAAGCACATTTGGGATATATAATATGTTCTCAGTCTGTGAGAGCATCTTCTTATAGCTAATGCTGAAGATCAGGATACTCATAGAAATGCATCTCATACTGACCCGATATAGCTGCTCTCATGCACTTTCCTTATATCCTGTTGCTAAAGTTAACTTTCTAATTATTTTCTAATCCTGATGTGAGTAAGAAAATCCAACTGTTATCACATCAGAGTCTGAAGGGAAAAAAAGAAAAAAAAAGATCAAAACATCCCTCCTACTTTGCAAGCCACTTAGCTCTCCCTCAATTCTTAATTTTTAAATACTTCTTGTAAATGTGAGGCCACAGAAACAACAGGAAAGTCTTGCATACAGTTATGGGAAAGATGACTGAAGGTGAGGCTAGTACAGAGGAATTTTATTTGCATAATTAAATGGTGCAATTTCAAGGAAGGAGAGGGAGACTTCAGCACATGGAACCTGACCCTGACATCCACCATGCTCTTTGTATATCTACCTTGCATATTTACACATGAACACAGAATATTTTTTGAAAAAAGTCCTGATCTGTTGGATTTGATTTACCATGAGTGGAACAAAAGTAACTGGTCTTAGAGAAAAATGCATGTAATTGAGCTCTGGCAGTTTATGATTTTGATCAAATTGGTTTTTGCAGTCTGGCTTGCCCTATAAGGGTCTGACACCTTTTCTTCTATTTATTTATATCTCAATTTTCCTTCCATTTACATAAGTCAAACTGACCTCCCCTGTCAGTTTTGCTCCCTGAAGGAAGCGAATGTTCCATGTAATGTAGTCTGCTTATTTTATCACTGTGGAAGTCAAATTCCTTAAAGGTGAAATAGTAAGTCATGTTTACTGCTGCTCAGTGAATTGCAAATCGTATTTTCTCTTTGTGTCCTCTAGGTACGTTTGTCGTACGTGCGCATGAAGTATCTCTTCATCTCTTGGTTGGTAGTGTTTATTGGCAGCTGGGTTATGTATGTTCAGTACTCCACCTACACAGAGCTATGCAGAGGACATGACTGTAGGAAAATAATAGTAAGTATATTTAGCATAGCTTTCTAAAGTGTTTGACTAATTCCACTGCCAATTCAGTCAGTGCCCTGTGTAATTTAATCAAATTCTCATATTGAATTGTAAGATTACAACTTCAGTTACAGATAAAACCACTTGTGATTCTTAACATTATTTTGGTAGAGAGTTAATAAAATTGTTTTCTTTCAAGAGTTGGAAGAGATGCGGTTGTTGTCTCCTTTCTCAGGCAATTTATTAAATATATTTCTCCGTATTTGTTTCAGTGTGATAAATACAAGACTGGAGTTATTGATGGGTCAGCATGTAGTAGTCTTTGTGCTAAAGAAACATTGTATTTTGGAAAATGTTTGTCAACAAAGCCCAACAATCAGGTAAGGCTTTAGTCATCCAACCTAGTTCTGTTATTTTCCACTGAAATGTCATTGTCTGGAACATCAAGAAGACCTCAGTGTCAGCAAGTTGTATCTGTTTAATACAGATTATTTCAAACTTCATTTGCTGTGACATGCAGAGCGTGTGTGTGTACGTACGTAAAAATATCTATGAGTGGAAGATATAATACATACTATTAATTTATACAATATGCACCTATATACAATAGTATAGATTATTCCTGTATGTAGAGGCGTACATCATTATTTTATAATAGATGTGTTTTGGAAACATATATACTGGATCCTTCCACAGTTTGACAGAATAAGCATACTTTTGTACAGCATACTGCTGCTCTGCTATCCTGCTTCACAACTAGAAGCAGCAGCCTCATAAAAGCCTGTGCACAGTGGCAGTAATGCCAATCCGCTGTTTGTGGAGCTGTGTTTTGCCAGTGTAGTGTCTCCTAAGTACCTGCAGCAGTGTGTTGTATTTGAGGTTGCCATTGTTCCAATTGCTCTATGCATTGTCTGTGCACAGGACTCTCTTTGCTGAGCTGTGTTGCCATTTGACTCCTGAAGCGGTGGTTGCAAGACAGGTAGTCTTCAGATGGACTTGTACAGTGTTTTTTACCTTTTTCCCTCTTTTTCTGCACAGATGTACTTAGGAATCTGGGGAAATCTGCAAAGTGTTATAAAATGCCAGATGGAGGAAGCTGCTCAACTTGATTTTGGTACTGACCCAGAACCAAGGAAGGAAGTAGTCCTATTTGATAAACCAACAAGAGGAACCACTGTTGAGAAATTCAAAGAAATGGTATATGGTCTTTTTAAAGTAAGTATATGCTTATTTATTCTGTTTTGACTGAAAGGCTCATTTTCCTGAAGCTGGAGAGAATACCCTATTGTATGAGCCTTGTTCAAGTGCATATTATAAAAATAATCAGCACAAAACTAGTTTTTCCCAGAGGTACTTACCTTGAAGTTTGAAGTAAGTAATTATTAGGTTTTTTCCTTACTTTTTAAATTATGGAAGTTGGCATTCATCTTGCGTGTTTACAGCCTTGACTTGTATTTGTACAGAAAATTTTTTGGTGCTTTTGAGGTTATTGTTCATGCTTGGGAAGAGTTCCTGTGTTAACTGAGCAGCAGCAATCTCTCTGTCCAGAGTGACCAGTCATACTTGTCCTTTCTGCGTTACATTCACGTGATGCTTATTTCTATTACCTTAATGCTACCCCAGAATTTTCATAATATAATCACCTTGATGCTCTGTTAATTCTGATTTGGGGTTTTCTTTCTTAAAATTATCTTGCTATTGTCATAGCTCCTATGCCTCCTATATCTCCTATTTGCCCTTGTGTGTGCATTCATGGTAGCTGAAAATGGAACAGTTCTGATTCCAGCAGTGGCTTCTGTGTATTGACACAATTGAGGTGGTTATATCAAATAACAAAATTAAGCATTTCAGTACACTTAGGTTATGGGATTTGTACCCAGTATGTCTTGGTACTTTTTATAGTTGGCCAAAATGTAGTTTATAATGTAATTTCTCTATACCTGTAAGGTTTAACCAGCTGAAAACTAAACCTGATCTAAACATTTGAATTCTGCATACTCTTTCTAAGAGAATATTGAATAAGCTAGTTGATAAAATTTTTCTAAAGACTGATCTGACCAAGAATAATGTTTGAATTTTAATGTTTGCATTTTGAAATGCAGAGAACACTCGTACTTTCAGAAGATCATATGCTTAGTGCATATTAAAATAGAGCAAAAAGGAAGCTCTTCAGGCATCTGATACCAGGTCCTGTAACATCCATACTCAGTGGAAACTAGAACGTACACTACCATGCTATTCATACAAGATAACAGGAGGCAGAATGCCAGATGGATTGGTGGTAGTTAATGAAATAATACTTAATCTTTTTTGCTTGTTGCTTTTAGGCAAAATTGGGTGAACAAGGAAATCTTCCAGAACTGGTTAATCTCATCCTGTCTTTTGCTGATGGAAACAAAGATGGCAGAGTCTCTTTGCCAGAGGCGAAATCTGCATGGGCACTTCTGCAGCTAGAGGAGTTTCTGTTAATGGTGATCCTCCAGGATAAAGAACATACTCCCAAGTTGATGGGTTTTTGTGGGGATCTCTATGTGACGGAAAGAGTTGAATATACCTCTCTCTATGGAATCAGCCTTCCATGGATTATAGAACTTTTCATTCCCTCTGGCTTCAGAAGAAGCATGGACCAATGGTTCACTCCATCATGGCCAAGAAAGGCAAAAATAGCTATAGGGCTTTTAGAATTTGTGGAAGATATTTTCCATGGACCTTATGGAAACTTTCTTATGTGTGATACAAGTGCCAAAAACTTGGGATATAATGAGAAATATGATTTGAAAATGATGGACATGAGAAAAATTGTGCCAGAAATGAATTTGAAGGAAATAATTAAAGATCGTCAGTGTGACTCAGATTTGGACTGCATTTATGGCACAGACTGTAGAACACTATGTGACCAAAGCAAAATGAGATGTACCACAGAAGTAATTCAGCCAAACTTGGCAAAAGCCTGTCAGCTACTTAAAGACTATCTGCTTCGTGGTGCTCCTTCTGATATCCATGAAGAATTAGAAAAACAACTGTACTTATGTATTGCCCTTAAAGTCACAGCAAATCAGATGGAAATGGAGCATTCTTTAATACTCAATAACTTAAAAACTTTACTGTGGAAGAAAATTTCTCATACAAATGATTCTTAGCTTCTTCACCAGCAAAGGGAGTATTGATGCCTGCCATTAGAGGTGGTCTGCCACATTTGATAAAAACAATCTGCACCTTTTTTAAAAGATATTTCTTTACTCAGATTTTATTAATGGTTCTTTCACTCTTGCCCTTCAGTAAGTACCTTATGACAGGGCTTCTCAAAGAATGAACATGCCACCGAATGATCGGGCAGAGGCCAGAAGTACTTCTGGTGTTCAGTGCTGTGTTATGGAAACAAAAACTCTGCATGCTTGACCGTTCTGTGCACTTTGTCAGATCTTGAACAGGATGAAAGTATTCACTGTGCCACCACATCAGGAGATGGAACATCTTACAATTCTGTGAAAATCACTGCTCACTTGTGAAATACCTGCGAAGGATTTTTATCCCGAGTAGTTTTCTGAAGAATCAACACTACTGCAAATAATGTGTCCAAGTCCAAGCTGCTGTTACGAATAAACTGAATTGTGAGATTGAAGTTTACTAATATCTTGGCATGGCAGAATTTGCACATTAATAATTTTTTAACTGTGGAAAATTAGAATTTTATTCTAGAATGGGCAGGTTGTAATATAAGACTTAAATCAGATTCTGTTTACACATTTGTTACCTCATGCTTACATCCTGAATGTTTAAGTAGTTCAACACTTCTTAATTAAGTCACTGTATGGTGAACCAGGGTGGGGGCCAAGAATTTTAGAATGTTATTTCTTAAAATCATCTATGTGGTCTAGCAGCAATACCAGCATCCATTTCAAAACCTGTAAATTGTTGTATTTCAGTTGAAATCTTTAACCCAAATTAAGGTGTAGCAAATTTTGAAAAGTAAGGAGTTTGTGGACTAAGCTATTGTATGAAAACTGAAGTTAATTAATTTTCAAAAATACTGATAGCAGAAGTGTGCTACCAGTTAAAAAACGGAAGCTTGCATAGGGTGGGAATCTGCTGTGTAATATGAGAAAGAAGTTAATAGTTATGCATAGTCTTGACTCTTTACTGTCCCTCCAAATTTAGCTAGACTTTTACTTACTTCTTGCAGTAGATCAAGAAGATTTATGTGAGAGCTAGACCTGAACTGCAGGACAGAAGCTGGATTGTTCAGGACCATGGAATATTGCTTAAATTGGATGAGATAGTAACAGCTAGGAAAGAGCTGGAAAGTAAGTGAGCTGCAGTGTGTTACTGTTACCCTTTTTTTTCTAGTAGCATCTATGAGTCATTGTTAAGTCTCAAGTAAATAAACACCATCTGATCCTGGCACTCCACATGGCATGACCACTCTACCACCTTTATTATCCCCTTGCTGCTCTTCAGATTTACATCTGTGTTCATAATCTTGCAGAATTGGAGGTCCATAAAACACCTTGATACTGTGCTCAGTTCTTATCTGTTAATGTTTAATTTATAGATGCTTTAGGTATAAAGTTGTTCAATCCATATGATTTTAAAGCCGGTCATCCATATTACTACTGAATCCTGGCCCCTTAATTCATTTTCAGCTTTATTTAAATATCTGAAAGGTTAATTGCTTTAGGTATCCTGTCTTAAATGCAATCCTTGAATGATTAAACTGAAGTACTAGGCCACAATAAAGTCACATCTTCTTACCCTATGTGATAATATGCAGCTTGGGTTAAGAGAGTACTGTTTTGTGAACAGCGGCTTTATTTAAGAAATACTGTGCTCATGCTAATTCTTGTCTCAAACTTGCTACTGTGCTCCAACCACAAACTAATAAGTATTTGTAACCAGCAATGCACTCAAGTGTAAAGTGGTCATGTTCTTGGTGAAAAAAATCTGAGTGATGGCTGAGAGGTTTTGGGCAGAGAAGATTCCTGCCGTTAACAACTGGAAAACATGTTTAATGTGATTTGTTGTACAGAACCTTCATATTTATTGCTGTTGCATCAAGTTGAAGCTTTTGTTGGAACAAAACGCTTGTTTACAATAAATCACAGGCCTCCTTTTCTCTTTCAAGAGCAGTATTTACACCAACAATCACTATCTTAAATCAAAACATTCCTCACTTAGCGTATTTGATCCATGTTTTAACTGTGCAAACAACTTCAGTAAGTCTAATGGGAAACAAGGCACTTATGAAACTGAGATAGTAGGACCTGGGGGTTCTTGGGTTGGGGGTGCTCCTTGGAGGGGCTGTCTCGAGTTGTGTTACTGTGCCAGGATAAACTGCCTTGTGGAATGTGATGTCTTGGACTCTGCTCAGGAAAACCCAGTGTGGCTGTGTTTTGGGGGGGGGAGTGGGGTGGGGAGGCAAGTGGAGCACCCATGGGCTCAGTGCAGCTGCCCCCAGGGAAGGGCCTTTGGTCCCAGCAGTGACAGCCTGGTGTCCTGGCTGCCAGGGAGTCTGGGAAGGGTCAGACTGTTTCCTTATCAAGTTTCCTTATAAGTTCCCTTATCAAGGCCTTGTAACAAAGCACGTATGTGCAACTTAGAAGTGAATTCTCTTATCAATCACTCAATAATGTTAAGTATTCAGCTTAAGGCAGTACCTGTTTCAGTAGCAGCCAGAACGGGGAGGTGAGTGTGTGAAGTGCCTGAAAGCCTAAGGTTACCTGTGGGCAGAGGCTTTAGAACCTATTTTGACTACTCTTGTTCTTTTCCTAAGCTACATCCAGACCGCCACCTAACGTTATGCTGAAAGAAAAATTGTGAAGGACGTGTAAAGCCCTTTTTAAAATGTTAAAATCTTTTTCTAGTTAGAAGCAGCAAACTCTTATACCTCGTCTTTGATACTCACCATGCCAAAGATTAATAAAATTGATTTCCCCTTCTTATAGGAGTAATTCTAATGCTGCAACCTTGGTCTTTGAAGTCTTATCACCTCTCTTCGCAGTGAAAATTCAATTCACATAGTACTTTGAGAGGGAGAAAAAAACCCTTTCAGGTACAAAATATCTAGATAATAAAAAATATTGTCTCTTTTTATAAACTATATAAATAAGCCAGTCTTACACTGTTGCTTCTTTGATAAATTTATTCCCGCTTTTTCCAAAGCTTCGCAGAAAACTGTGGAAGTTGTCTTAACTATCAGTTCTGCGCTCCTGGGCCCGGAGGAAGCTGGCCTTCTTCTGAGCAACACGGTCTTTCTTCTGGGCGAGGGACATCTTGGGACAGTTCCATCTGCAGTGTAAGCACAGGGTACGATATAGTCAAGGCAGAAATAAGCAAAAAGGTGGCCAAGAAGCCTGTAGTGCACCACAACTGTGATTAAGAGTGTGACGGAAAAATGTATGTATGCCCACTTCTGTAACATGTTTTATTTTCTTGCAATGAGTTAAGGCTGCAGTTAGAGCACCACAAAAAGTTGGACAGTTTGATTTCTCAAGAGGTAAACCCTGTACTCTTTTGTATAGACATTATCAGCCCAATGCAATAGCTGTGCCTTGATTTCTTTTCTCCCACACCCCTGAACAATGAAAATAATTTAGTACTGACAACGTAGTGCTCTCAGCTGAAGAGAAGCAGCTTTCCCACTGAAAACACTAAGACCTGAAGATACACACCTCAGAGTTCCAGCTATTCAGGCCACATGCATGCTTCACTTGGAATTTTTTTGCTCTTGAATTTCAGATTCCTACTGCTAAAGTTAACTCCTAAGTTATACAGAACTGCTTTTATCTTAATCTGATCTACAATGTGAATTTTGACACAACTGCTATGTGAATTGCATTACTTGTTTTACTGTAACTAAAATATCCTCAACTGAAAAGTCACATGGATGTTAAAGAGAATGAGTTTTACCTCTTTTTCTTGACTTCTCTCTTGGGTTTCTTTTCATGGACTGGATTATCCCGTATAGCAGCATGGGCTTTTTTATACATTTCTTCCATCTTAAAAAGAAAAAAGAAAAGAAATTAAAATTTAAAGTCACCAAAATGGTCCAGCTGTTGGATATTAAAAATCCAAGACATCCCTAGCTGAGCATGCACTAGAAACCAGTTTCATCACAATACAGCTTGTAATTTGGCATGGTTACCTTTAAAACACTTCCTTCATACAGAAAAGAACTGCCACAGCATTAAGAAATTCCTGCTGTCACTATGTTAAATTTAAATCTCCAAACCCAAACTCAGGGCATTTAACAGAGAAAGTAATTTTATCCTTATTTGACAGTTAGTTACTCTAGGGCCTTAGTTCCCTACAGAACTAAGAAGTCTCATAACTACAGACTGGCATCTTGCAGTTGCTGAAGCCTACTTTCAGTGCTGCAGCTTCCCCAGATTTCAATTAAAAGGCAAGCCAGAAAGTTATTCTACCTAGAATAAAATGCTTCACGTTTAGTTAATAAAAAAATACTTCACACAAACTCTGGCACCAGACATGTAATCTTATCACTTTTCAGACCTTACTGCAGTACCCACTGCAAAGCTGCTTAATAAAAGGCAGAAGTTGTGAAGCTGTAGCTGCTTTTACAAGTCTCGCAAGAACCATGGTAGTGCCTGCATTGTCCCCAGGCATGCAGTAATGCTGCTCCGTCCCAAAGACAACTCTGGCTCCATAATGGCACAAATTTTAAGAATACCTTTGCTGGTGGTTAATTAAGACCACTAGATCTCAGCTGTGAGAAACTTTCTAGGAACATATGTTTTAAAGCTCCAGGACCACTTACGAGGAAAACCAAGCAAGACTATTACAGGAAGCTGGACAAGCATCTGAAAGGAGCTTAATACTTGGAACAAGTGGAAGAAGCACCTCTGTATTCTTACATATCTTCCAGTGTTTTGCACAAAACACTAAAATTTAAAGCAGTACTAAAATAAAATGTATTAGACTCTGTAGGTTCATGAAATGCTAGCTCCTACAACACAGCTAGCTTGGGCTATTCTGTGTTCACCTGGAACACAGAACTACCTATAGGGTCAAACAAATCCTAACACAGATTTGACACGGAACCACATGCTGACAGTGCAATTGCTACAGCTGCAGAAATGACAGGCTGTGGTGCAGGATAAGGATTGAGTGGATAGCATGTACAGAAACTTCCAAGTTAATGTCTGTATTGGGGATGAGGGGAAGTGGTCCAGCACAGAATGCAATCCTGTAAGCTTGGATTTATAGGCAGAATGTTAAGCTTCACAGCAGGAAAAATGGCCCCACTTTTGAAAGTTCTATGATATATTACAGAGCCCTTAATGAAGGAAAAAATAGTTTCTTTCCACAGATAACATACAGCATGAATCACATAATTTTACATACCAAACTTACTTGCATTACTACAAAAGGCCCTACACAAGACTTACTGGCATCTCTATTAATGCACAAGATCAGCTAGGTAAATCTTACCCCATCAGGTGTTACATTGTTCTTTATGTACTGGGAGAACTGTTTCTTGTAAGCGTCCTCGTCCTCCTCCATCAGGTAACGCATATAATCTGCAACATTTTGGCCCATGATGTGCTTGCGGTGAACCTCCGCATTGAATTCTTTGCTTTCCGAGTCATAGCCAGGGAAACGTTTGGTACTGTGGAACAGCAGTTACAGTCAAATTAAGACACTGCCAAATGCTCTAATTCAGAGGCTAAGATCCACACAAATTATTGGTACATCAGATTCTCCTACAGATAACTGAGGGATAGGACCCTCTAATTAAAAATAAGCAAAAGTTTTAAGTTCATCTCAGCTGCCATCAGTCCCGTCTTGAAACACTGCAGTACATCACACACACACCATGGACCAACTACAGAGTGTTCAGTCATTGCGAGTGTCATCATGTAGCAGCCAAGTCAGAAAAACTGGACAGTTAGTCAAAAATAGGACAGCATGGGAGAGGGGAGGAAAATACATAAGAGATCTCAGGATTTTCTTTCCCCTGCTGCTGCCAGCAGAAAGCAGCAGTCAGCTGTAATATGTGATAATTTTAAATGCAGGTGGACTGCTCAGGCTTACTACTGTACTGACAACTGCAGCAACATACCTGGAATGCACAGGTTTTCATGGTGAAATGAATACCTACACACAGTTTGGTAAAGACTTAACAGAACTCTAAAGGATATTTACATAAATGTATTCGGTCACTTGACTTTTAGCAGAATCAAATGTCTGAAAGTTTCTCAGCAACAGTTTTGAGATTCCCAGCAGCAATATCAGAATTGCACTTGTGGATTAAAAAATAACCAACAAAAAAACCACCAACCCAGTACCTAGGCTACATAATCATTACCAGGTCAGAACAAAATTATTAACATAAAGTGTTAATAGCACTTTAGTATAAGCAGACTGTCATATACATGTAAAGCATCTCAGGTTAGCCCTAAAGAAATTCTTCCAAACGGAGATTACCTATGAGGGATGGACAGACCACCATCCACTGCACCCTTCAGAGCACCAAAGACTTTGTTTCCAGTGGTAGTTCTGGCAAGACCTGCATCCAGGTAACATGTAAAAGCACCAGGCTTGCCATCCACACTTTCCACGTTGTATTCATCACCAGTGACTTCAACTTGGCCTTCGTAGATCTTATCGAGGCCAAATTTATTCAGAAGCTGTGGGGAAAGGAAAGGCACTTCTGAAATTCTTCCCATTAGTTGACAGAAGGTAGAGTCAACACCACCTTAAAATGTGAATTTGCAGTAGAATCGTGTTTTTAACAAATTTCTTTACAGAAAGCTTTCTAACTATCACCACTGTAAGAATGTCTGTTATGCTTCAACCTACAGTTCCAACAGGCACACTGGTGAACTTAAAGACTTATTCATGAGCTCATGTAGGAAATGGATGGATGCAGTTTACATGTTTTCAAACTCTTTAAGCAACATTTCTTACGTTTTCATCTAGACTCCCTCCCTCCACCAAACTTAGGGGCTGAGACTTAAAAGTGGGCTGCTGGAGCTGAAACTGTGTGCTGTCATACTTCTGTGATTTGACAGTCACGAGAGGCCATCAAATCTATATGGTAAAGAGCAAAAGTTATTATTTTGAGAAACCCACAGATGAAGTGGGCTTTCCCTTTCATAAGA